GTGTGTATATATATATATATATAAAGCTAATCAGAAATAGCACAATATGTTGTTTTGCAGTCTGAATAATTTTCGAAGACCTCTTTTTTTCTGTAGAAAACATTGGGGCTACAAAAAGTGAAGCGACTGTTCAGTAAACACTGGGTGAACCTGTATTACAACTCAACATGTGCAAGCCTGTTCCAGCATAATAAGGCAGGTAGGGAAGGTTTGGGAAAGTTCTCCACACACATTTCTACAACAGCAAAACGTACTTCACTATACCTGCACAAAAGAAAACACATGTAAGTAACCACTCTCTCACTTCTTTTGAACACTTCAGTAATCTAAGCATTTTGATACTGTTGGACATTTTGAACGTTTTACTTTCTCCCGGGCTGCTTGCACTTCTGTAATGACTGATTTATTCTAATCGTTCCCAGCCAGAGAGCATTTTTCTGAACTAAAACAGTGTGTTTTCTTGAAACTTGTCTTCAGTCTGTGAATTTTGAGCAAGTATTTCTAATGAGACTCTTGTGATATGTGTAGTATTTTTTTACTGAAGTTTCTTCCTTTGTGTTTCTTGATTTCCAAGTTTGCCTGCAGATTTTTTCACATTCTTTCTTTAGGAAGACATTTAAAAAAATGGAAAATGTCTATTTTTCTGTAGCTGACTCTGCTCTGTGCTTTAAATGATGCAATCCAGAGGGAAAAAAAACAGCATGCTTTGATCACTTATATCTTTCTTCGAAGAAATGGTTTGATGATCCGGAGTTGCGCCGCTGGGGGTGGCAGCACGTTGGAGTGGCTCTGTTGCTTTTGTTGGGGCTTTCTTTTCTTTTCGGGTGTTCGTTCCTGCCTTTCTGCGGAAGGGGTGGCTTTTTTGGGCGGCTGTTCATTTGTGTTTTGGGTGCTGTGCAGCTGGATTGGTTTTTGCCAATACTTTTTTTATACTTTGCTTTTTGTTATGATGTGTAACCATAGCAACAGTGTGGTTTACAACAGGGAACAGCTGATTAATATTGCAAAATCTGAAATAATACATCAACTGAAGCCGCAAATCCCAGAGGAGTTGAAAAGGAGGCATCGTCGATGCAGAGCTGGAGCAAAGAGGCGAGAGAGAAGGAGGAAGTTCAAACCATCACTTCCATCAATCCTAACGGGCAACGTGAGATCATTAGCTAACAAACTGGATGAAATTCAAGCCCTGACAAGTACTCGGCAAGAGTATAGGGAATGCAGTATTATGTGTTTCACTGAGACATGGCTGCAGGATCATGTCCCTGATGCCAGCATCTCTCTGCCAGGCTTCCAGACTATACGAGCAGACAGAGATTTAAAGAGCAGCGGGAAAAAGAAAAGAGGTGGATTAGCAGTGCTTGTCAACAACAGAGGGTGCCATCCAGGACAGGTTACTGTGAAGTTTCGTCACTGCAATCCAGACATTGAACTCTTGGCAGTAAGTTTTCATCCATATTATTTACCAAGAGAGTTCACCAGTGTTATTTTGGCAGCTGTTTACATTCCACCCTCAGCTGCTGCTGACAATGCATGTGATATTGTCAGTTCCGTTGTTGCTAAGATACAGACACAACACCCCAATGCATTTGTGGCAATATCTGGTGATTTTAATCATGCTCCCTCTCTGCTACACTGCCAACATTTCAAAAATTTGTCAGCTGCTCTACCAGAGAAAACAAGACATTGGATTTGTTTTAACACAAATGTTAAGGATTCTTACATCGCCAATGCAAGACCTCATCTGGGTAATTCAGATCACAACCTTGTTTATCTCTACTCAGAATATAAACCACTTGTTCAGAGACAACCTGTAAATACAAGGACTGTGAGAAAGTGGTCACAGGAAGCTGAAGAAGCCCCATAGGGATGTTTTGAAGCTTCATATTGGATTGTTCTTTGCCAGCCACATGGAGATGACATAAATGCCAAGACTGAGTGTGTGACTGACTATATAAACTTCTGTGTGGACAACACCATCCCCAGCAGAACAGTGAGATGCTTCCCTAATAACAAACCCTGGATCACCAGTGAGCTAAAGGAACTTTTAAACAAGAAAAAAATAGCCTTTAGGGATCGAGACAGGGAGTTGTTGAGGAGTATACAGAAGCAGCTCAAAGTCGAGAACAGAGACAGCAAGGAGGTTTATAGAAGGAAGCTGGAGAGTAAACTGAAAAGGAACAATATCAGAGATGTGTGGTCAGGGATGAAGAAGATCACAGGTTTCAAGCAAAAGGAGAATCAGATGGATGGAAGTCTGGACAGAGCAAATGAGCTGAACACATTCTTCAACAGGTTCAGCTCCGGAACAAGCTTATCTTCCTCCTCTCCTGCCACCAGCCAAACAGACATCTCACCCTCCTTTGACCCACAGCTTGATTAGCTCTATTGTTCATAATCAAGCCTATTTTTAGGCGATGGCCCTCTTTTGCAGGTGACTAACCTGTTTGTCCATGTGGAGGCAGTGCTTATAAGGCTGAGTTCACCTGAAACTCATCAGACTGAAGAAGTCTCTTGGAGGAGAGACGAAACGTTTCACGAAAGAAGAACCCATCCAGAGGACCTACTCATTTTTTTCTTTTTGATTTTTTTTCTACCTGGATTACTGAGATGCATCAGGACAAATTCTGAAAGCATCTAATCATGAAAAACATTATTTTTAATGATTACCTAGAATTTAGCAAAGATGACTTTTTGCCTGAAAAAAATAAACAATTGGATATTTCATGACCTTTGCTTTGCAGGGCTTCCACTGACGTCATCGTGGCTTGGGGCGAGTCACTTTACCATCTTCTTGAGTGTAAAAGTAAGATTATTTATTTCACTTTCTCCAAACTTTCTTTCCTCTTGAGGTTAATTCGTTATCCCTCCATAGTGTTTTTTTTTCTGGGCAAAAATTGCCTTATTTATTTATTTATTTGTTTGTTTCTCATGTAAATTAAATCCATTTGAAGACACAGTATTTTAAATGGGTCACACTGACAGCAAGAAGAAATGCAATCTGAGCTGCTGGTGTTGATAGGATCACTGCAGTCGGTACTTGCTCATGTCCTTCACTTGACCAAAAATGTGCATTTAAAAATGCAAGACAGGGCAAATAACTTACTGTTAGTCATCATTCATTCGACCTTCTAAAATAAATTCCAAAGAAATGTAACGTTGTGGCCAGTTTTCTTTTGCATTGAATTATCTGCCCCAGAACATGAATTGAATCCTGGACTTCATCGTCTCTTTGTGTTTGATAAAAACACAGGGACATGTGGAAAACTAGGCAGCCTTTTAAAAAAATATATGTATTATTTGAAGCAATTTCACTTTGATGTATTTTATATACTTTTCCATCATGTGTGATTTTAAAGAGCTCACGCTGTCATGACTGAAAGCTAAGATTTGAAATGATTTGTAGATAAGAACAAACCACCCTGGGTTGTGTTTTTGTTTCCTGTCAATTACTGTCAGAGCACCAGCTGTGATTTATGTACAGAGGTTTGTGCAGGTAATGCTGGTGCTCACAGTTAGCTGTTTGTTTGTGCTCCCTATAGGCACGCTAAGAATTTAACACCTGCGCAGGAATCATTGCCCTGTGAATACGCTGTAAGAAAGATAACAGGTGTGAGGCGCAGCATAAAAGGAATATATTGTAGGTGTATTTATTTATACAATCTCGAGGCAGTGCACATAGAGATGCAAAGTTTGGTTTGGAAGGTTTTGAAGTAAAAAGGCTCTCCATGTTTCCATCACAATAACTGGTTTCCTGCATCATTTCTTTGTTCAGTGACTTCTTTGAGCTAGAGAGCATCGAGAATGAGAGTGAGCAATAAAATAAAACCTTAACTTTCAGTGAGGGCTCAGATTTTACTTTTAATATCTTTCTTTTTTAAAGGCACACTTATTTCCTTCATTCTATTATTGCTGCAGCTGTTCTGATTAAAGCAAAAAAGGCCTATGTGTGAAAATCACCAGTAAAAAGTTTCAACAAAATGAAAGAAAAGAGAGACATAAACAACAACATATGAAAACTAGAACTATAAAGCAGTTATGACTGGGGTCCAAGCCCGTTTATACTTGTCAGCTTTGGCTCATGTCATTTCCAGCATCCTGTTGACTTTGTGTATCATAGAATTATTGCATGATGTAGAGTTTTGATACAGTCTGTTTGAAGGCCAGTTTTCAACAGCATCTGTTGAGGGTGTGCGTGTGTACTTGTGTTTGTTCCGTTGTGTTAACTAAGTTTGATAGTTTTCCCGAGAACATAATCACACTGTATGTGTATCTGAGCTTTGTCCCCTAATGTGACCTAGGAAATGAGAGATTGTCCTCATGAGGATAGTAAAACAAGAATATGTGTTTGTGTGTGTGTTTCTGTATTCATTTCTACATGAACTTCAGAATTAAAAAATCATCTAAAATCACAAGATTGTCGAATTCAGAAAATATTCAGTAATGACTGGCTGCATAATACTGTATGTACGTACACATTTTTTTAAACCCTTCGGTTTCAAACTTTTCCACAGAAACAACATGCAGTGCATAGTTTTAAAAACCAAATATATCTTTTTAATTTTWTACACTATATTGATTCTCTGGTAGTGAAATTAATTTTTTGCATTTTACCCATTGCACGTGTGAAGCGTGGGTTGTCAATTAAAGCAGCCGGGGAGCAGCTGAGTGGTTAAGAGCCTTGCTCAAGGTCTCAAAGTGAGGCTGGTTGGTCCAGGGAGTTGAACCAGCGACCTTCYGATCACAGACCCATCTTCTCTGTGCCACCACTCCCCAAACAGATTCTATTCAAAGAAAAAACTAATGATTTGTTCAACATAGCCTAGAAAACATACCTGCTAGTTTTCTTGCTTATTGAAAAATGTAGCATTAATTTATTTAACCATTAAGGTCCTTAAAGTCAAAGCTAGTGATTATTAAACTACATGTGACATTTTCAAAGTGTAAAATAGCAAAGGTGTTAAGGGATTAATTTGCACTTTCCAATCCATTACAAAACAATATGGAAGCAATTTTGTGTTTCAAATGTCACTTTATGGAAMATCTGCATCAAGTTCTTTCCTATTGACTAGCTTTGAATAAATAATTTAYGTTGCATAATATCAAATGAAATTAGCAGGACAAGATGAACGTCTGGTTGAAATGTACTGAAAAGTTACTAAGTTAAGAAGACGGTGACTTTTTCTATAGTTAGTTTTTTCACCTTAACAAAAAAAAAACATTTGACATTTTAACCTCACCCATATTAAAAGGTAAACAATTTGAATAAGGATTATTCTGATCCAGCTGCTTAAAGACAACTTTTTTAAAATTTGTCCGATAACTAAATGTAACTGTTAAAAACGGTGTCTGTTCTTTTTGTGCAGCAGGTCGGCTGGTGTTTGAAAACTACCTGAGGACAGAATACAACGATGAGAATGTTCTATTTTGGCTGGCCTGTGARAACTACAAAACCAATTCTGGTGATACAGAAATGAAAGTTGATGCCAAAAGGATTTTCAAAGAGTTTGTCCAAGTCGGTGCACCAAGACAGGTATGGCTTTTGAATAAACTCGGATCTGTGTAACTTCAAATTACGCTCTGTTTCCAGTTTGATTTCTGTCTCTCTTTATTCCCCACAGTTTCAGTCACAACTGCTATGAAAAAGATTTCTGAAAAAAAGCAATCTTCTTTATTTTTTCCGCTCTATGCAATGTCTTATTTTCATTTACTAGGTTGACGTGCAATTTACTTTCTGAAAACATTAAATTGTGAAAATAAATAAATAAAATACCTGCAAACATGAATGAAAGTTACTGTTTTCTGAACACAGATAAACATTGACTGTGTGACGAGAAAAGAAATCAGAGGAAATCTCTCTCATCCGGGGCCAAATTGCTTCGACAGGGCACAGAGGCTGATATACCGTCTGATGGAAAACGACTGTTATCCACGATTTCTAAAATCTGAGCTGTACAAAGTGCTCCTGGAGCAGGCTGAAGGAAAATAAAGGCAACATGAAGAAAAAAAAAAACATCTCATCAAATTCTTATTTGAATTGATTCTTCTCTTCAGAAGAGTTTTTGGAATTAAACAAAACGTCTGCCTGTCAGAGGAATAGGAGGTGAAAAGAAGTTCTGTTGAGTATTGACATTATCTAAGAGCTAAACAGATGTAATTATTCTCAAGGCATTTTTTTTTTAGAAATAGTGTTTCACATAAAACAGATGGCATCCATTTTGAACGTTTTACTACTAGTTTGCCCAGTAAATCATGAGTTTTGAAAGGTTTGGTTCAAGGGTTAACATGAAACAACTGACCTGAACAGTTTATGTTGTATTAACATGACTTTGTGTAGAGATTAAATAAGTTAAAGATGCACAAGTTATATGAAAAGTGTTTTTAAGCTTCTCTATCATACTACAGTGAGGACTTGTTTTCTTTTTTGCTGTGATGTGTTTTTATTTCCCTGATGCACATAAATGACTACATTCACAAATTTTAAACTGAGGGCTTAGAATGTTTACATTTCATTCATTTGACCATTAAAACAAGGTTAGTGCATTAAAAATCCTAAAGAATATATATATATATAT